GACACACTTATAGGAGTTTACGGCCCAGGAGAGGTTATATGGCCGTAAACTCACTTATGTAAGGTATTTGGTGTGTTTAAGGTCCCCAAACTATTTTTAGATGGTTCTAGGATTTACCATAAGGCCATTGGTTGAGTTTCAAGGCATTTGGACATGTTTAAAGGCACTAAATCCCCAATTTAGTGGAGTTTACGGCCCAAGCACATGCCTTGGCCGTAAACTCTTGTCTTTCCCCCAAAATGTATGTTTAATGTGTTCCAAGTCCTGATTTACAAGCCTCAAGGTCATATCTTAGTCCCAACTATGATTAGGAAGGGTAAATTTGGCTCAAAAACCCCATTTTGAGAAGTTTACGGCCCAAGATTGATCCTTGGCTGTAAACTCATGTTCTTGGTCCCCAAAACTAAGTTTAAACATAAATTTGAAGGCTAAAGAGGTTGGATAACAAGTTAGGGGTGTTACCTCTTTGATTGGAAGCCTTAAATCTTTGTTTTGGACCTTTGATTATGGATGAGGAGAGAGGTTGGGAGAGTTTTATGAGAAAATGGCCAAAGGCTGCAAATGGAGTCTTAAAACACTTTATAGAGTGTCTAAGTTTTGGACACGGTGGAATTCTACCCGATACCGGCATTAGGCGAGGCTTTTGGTCGTACCCGATTGAGTTGCCGGAACCCGATATGGTAAATTCTAGAAATATTCCGATCGCTAATATGGGTTGTTAAAATGATTTCTAAATGTATTAAGACACCCATTAAGTCATTTTAGATACTTAACAGTTAATGACTTAATTAAACAGAAGATCGGAAATCGAATTTGGAAACGACTATTGGTTGTGTGAATTGTACTACGAAAGAGTTATAAGAGTTGGTACTGAAATTTCGGGTTGTTACACCACGGGCTCCCTCCATGCAATAAAACATAATCACATAGCATATCAAATTACAAATGACTAACACATAAACCATAGTCACATAATGGGCCGGGCTTGGTGCCTTAGACCCATTGGTATGGCGAGAAGACGCACCTCGAATGTAGAAGCTTCCTGAAGAAATCCTTAGTTTTTGCCCCGCGAGCTTCCCGAGCTGCCACTACCAATCAATACACCCAAGTTAGCAATTGGGCCCCATATCATAATCCTTGATCCACGTATGGGAGAAAAATGACCATTTTACCCCTATCCTAATTCCAAAACAAAAGCCCAACACTAGTTAGGCTTTCCAAGCCCACTAGTGGCCCATTAATGCCCCAATTTGCCAAATTGGGCCCAAATCCTCCAACGGGATTTAACCTAAGCCCGAACATCTCCTTGGAACACATTACCTGACTTCTGATGACCTACTATAGAATAAAGGCCCCAAGTCCAAAGCACAACCTATACCGAGGCCTTTTAACGCAAACCCAAATTGCCAGAGTATGCGAGGCGTATGTCTACGTACGCTACGTGTACAGGCAAGATGGTGAGTACGTTGGGCATACCTGCATGTAAACTCAGCGTAGTTCCCCTGTTAGGTCCTTTTTCCATTAAGTGCTTATTACTCCACTCCAGAGGCTACAAACTCAGATCTAGGTCCTTTTCCATGTCTCATTCCATAAAGTCACTGACTTGGTGACTTTACTTTGCCCAAACAACCCAAACTCCAAAAATAATCTTCTACTTCCATAAAGAGGGTTAGATCTCATGCATGGTTATGAATGGACCATCAAGTTTGAAACTTTATTTCTTATGAAATACTTTTATCCTTGAGGGTGGCAACCCCATGCTCAAAAATGAGGTTTCATCATAAAGGTCCAATCTTAGGACCCAAAATGACTCAAAAACTTCACTACACTAGATCAAAGTTATGAACTTTATACCTCCACAAAGTCCCAAATGATGATGCTATTCCAGATCTATGAGCTCCAACTTTGAAAGTTCTCCCTTGTCAACTTCTTCTTTTCCTCATCCAAGTGACACCACCAAAATGAGCTTCTTAAGGAGAAAATCACTCAATAATGAAGGGTATGAGACATTCTAGGGTTTTCTGAGGGTAAGGGAACATATAAGGAGGCTAGGGCTTGAACCAATATGTTCTTTATATAGTGGCATGCCCTAAAATTAGGGTTTCTAAACACTAGGCATAGGATGGGCGAACATCATGTACACTGGGCGTACGCCAGAAGGCACCCACAATCTTTTACCCTTATACACTGGGTGTACTCGCACGTTTTCCACCTTACATGTGTGGTTCTTCTTGCCATTTATTTCCATTAGGGGCCATTTCTATCAATAACTAAAAGTGTCATAACTCCTTTGTTCCAAGTCCGTTTCCGATGAACTTTATATCCACGAAAAGATGGCGAGAAGCCCTACGCTTCTAATGATACACCCGACCCAAAACCTCTCAAATAAAAACTCAAAACCCATAAAAGACCGAAACACCCCTAGCCTTGGCCTTTGAAACCTATAAACGTATATTTTCATAACAGGGTGTTACAAACACCAATAGATGTTGATGAGGACATCAGAGTCTTTGTCGGCTTAAAATCTGAGAACCCATATTTCTTCAACATAAGTACAATATATTTATCTTGCAAATAAAAATACCATTAGTTAGTTCGCCCATCTTGCTCATCTCGAATTTTTGACCATGATCTCCATGGTTTCGGAACTAAGCTTTTCATTAGTGGATCCAAAGATTATCTTGTCCAAATACACTTGGGTAAGAATGATATGGGATCCTGAATGCTTTATGAACATAGTATTTTCGATCTTCCCTCATTTGTATCCACTTGAAAGAAGATAGCTTGCCAATGTGTTATATTATTCCCTAGGCACCTGCTTTTAGCCATAGACAAATTTATGAAGATGATATACATGATTTGGAAACTCCGCACTTTTAAATACCGGAGTTTTTTTAGAAAAAATTATTCTTGAAGATCTCCATGCAAGAAGACAGTCTTGATTTGGAAACTCCGCACTTTGAAGTTTGTGAAATAGGAAAAGGCAAGATACAAATGTATTCCTTCATGTCTAGCCATAGGAGCAAAAGTTTCATCATAGTCTAACCCTTCAAGCTGATAGAAACCCTGAGCCACAAGCCTAGATTTGTTTCTTCTGCAAATCCCATCTTTATCCTATTTGTTCCTTGAAACCCATCGAGTGACAATGTTAGTCTTTCCGTGAGGTTTGGGAACAAGAGTCTACATACGATGACGTTCAAATTCATTCAGCTCATCCTGCATGGCCTTGATCCAGTCAACTTCTTTCAAGCCATCAACAATATTCTTTGGTTCAATCATTTAGAAGAGGTTTACAAACATGAAGACGTTGTTGTTAACTCTACTGTGAGTGAGAATCCTAGAATTTACATCTCGAATGATTTGAGATTTGGGATGATCTCGAAGGATTATTAGGTTAGAACTTTCATTTGTATTGCTTTAGGAAAAGTCTTCCTGATTGGATGGATCAACTTCTTTAAGATGAAATGCTGATCTTCAAATATAGGTTGTGAATTAAATAATTGATCAACATTATGAAAAACAGGATCAACGTCATTTGACAAGAATTCGGGACCAGGGTCTGAGGGACTATGAGTAAGTTCAATCAGAATTGATGAAGGTTGATCAACTTGATCATGAATGAATAAGTCTTAATTGAAAGTGACATGAACTATTTCTTGAATAATTTTCCTTGAAATATTAAATACCCTTAAAGCCTTGGATATGTTGGAGTAACCTAGAAACATTCCTTCATCAGATCTAACTTCAAACGTTGAATGCTGATCTCTTTAATTCAAGATGTAACAAACACATCCAAACACATGAAAATAAGAGATGTCTAGTTTACTTCCTTTTAATAGCTCATACATAGTTTTTCCATGACGCTTAACAGTGATAGACCGATTTTGGGTATAACACGTTGTGTTGACAACTTCAACCTAAAATGACAAGGAAATACCAGCTTCATTGACCATGGTTCTTCCAGCTTCAGTGAGAGTTCTATTTCTTCACTCTGTAGTACCATTTTGCTTGGGATTTCTAACTGCCATAAAGCTATCAGAAATTCCTAAGATTAAGCAAAAGTCTTCTAGGGAGGAGTTTCTTAATTCAGTTCCATGATCACTACGTAATTACCTTACTTTGGGATCATAGAGGACTTCCCACTGCTTAATGAGTGCAATGATTTCATCACCGGCATGACTCTTCTTTCTTAAAAAAATTACCCATGTAAACCTTGAAAATTCATCCACGATGACGTGAGTGTATTTCTTTACAACCCTTGACTTAACCGGAACTTGTCCAAACAGATCCATGTTAAGAATATGAAGAGGTTTGAAAATAGAAGAGCAAGACCTTGGCTTGAAGGAAGACTTGGTTTTCTTCCCTTTTTTCACACTAACTTATCCTTGACAAACAACATTTTAGGAATTCCTCTTACAAGCTGATTCCCTGAAATCTTCGAAATGTTACTGAAGTTCATATGTGATAGCCTCTTGTGACATAACCAATTTAGATGAGACTGAGCATGAGAGAAGAAGCAACGTCGAAGAGAGTTGTCAGCAGAAAACATATCCAGAACATAGATGTCGCTTTGTCGATTTGAAGTAAGAACAATGACACTCTTTTGATTAACAACCTTTACTCGTCTCTTGTTAAATAGAAATTCATAGCTCCATTACCATAAGATACATTCTTGAAAAGAACAGAGTTGCACTTAATGGATCCAAATCCCTTTGTAGCTCCATTACCATTATCTCCATATGTAACAGTTGGACCATCCTTCTTTATGAAATCTTATAGGAAAGACTTGAATCCTATCATATATCTTAAGCAGCTAATGTATAAATACCATATATGCTCTTTATGTTGAAGCTAAGACATATAGTATCCTTGAAACAAAAAAAAATGCAAACAATATACGCTTACCCATTTGCAAAGGGTCACTCAAGAAAAGATATTATAACAATCAGCAGGGAGACAGTTTAACATGTTTCACTTTTTGGTCCTCTTATCATTACAAGTTAAGATGTTGTCAACATAAACAACGTTCTTTTCAAAAGTGCACCCGCTGAATTCATGAGAGGCATCACCACATCGATAACAGACTTGATACTAGGATTCTTTCCCTTAACATAAGATTTTAATTTCTTTTTAACTGGAGAATTCAAAGAACTTTGATTATTTGAGTTAAGAGTTCTTGATTTAATTCTGGAACAAGGAATGTCATCGATGGTAGGCTCAGATACAACCTTGTCACGAGGATTATGATGTATTGAAGAGTCATCAGAAATAAAAGACTTTGATTGATCTTCAGGTTCGCAATTGCTAACTGGGCACTGAGGAAACATGCTAAGAGTTTCGTTCACAGAATGAACTTCATGAATACATATAGGAAAATTTTAATAAAATCTTAGTGGAGGGAAGAACATACCCCAATGAGAAGGTTGGTGAGAAGGATCAAGAGCAGATAATTTAGAAACACATTTAGTAATGTGATTAGAATTAGTAGAGCAGTGAATATCAATTATAGTTTGATTTATAAAATAAGAACTCATAAATCTACTCTTAAAATATTCTTTCAAACAATCAGCTTTATAGAAGGTTTGTTTACTCTAAACAAATTTGGTTAAGGAAAAAGCACCTTCTATTTCATCTCCAAGAATTTTCTTACACTAATATGAAAATTGAACATTAATAATTTTTGTGACATTAAAGTGAGAAGATGCCCAATTTTTCAAAATAAGTTGAATGCATTTAGTATGATCAACAACTTTTTGTTTTCAGTGTGAAGAAAATTATTGGTCAGTGACATACACGTGTTTTCCCTTTTTAATGTAAATAGAGTTTTTTTTTTCTAGAAACGAGAGTTTTTCTTTGAGTTTACTTAATTCAAGACTAAGAGCAAATTTTTCTTTATTTGAGACCAATAAACCAAAAAGTAAGAGATCGATGGTGTCATCCTTTTCTATATGTTTAACAGAAGAGAATTTATCAATATTCTTTACCTGATACGTCGAGGTTTTGTCCCGTTCTGACATGAGATCTTTAGCAGCATGAGGAGGATCAGCGTCAAGGATCCCAATGCTATCATGTGAAATGTCAGCGTAAGATTCAACAATCTTAGCCATGAGACACTTACCTTCATCATCTGAGGAGTTTTCTTTTTCAAAATAAGATGATAGTGTAATTAGCATCTATTGAATGGTTGAACAGTTTTGAACCAAATGACAGACAATGAAAGGGAGTGGGTTTTCAATAGCAATTCTCTCCTTTATACCAAGAGTCAACACCCTTTTCTCTTCCTTGTTATAACCAAACACATTTTTCTTTTAGCTTACTACTAGATGCCTCATTATTAGATGATTGATGCATAACATCGATATGACCTTTGTTAACAATGTTGAGCATATCAAAGTCCATGAACTTGAGAGCTTCCATGGCCTTTGATTTCCATGTAGAGAAGTTGTGCTCATCAAATGAAGGGATCCTGTTGCAGAGTATTGATTTTGGAGTTAAATAGGTTAAACCTACTCTGATACCAATTTTAGGTTGGTATTGATCGGATATATTTCAAGTATTAAGAACAAACGTAAACTAATCCATGAAAAATAAAGAATTGAAAGTAAATAAAATACGGAATTCTCGAAAGTATCTTTCACCAAGAAAGGGTTTTGTCTTCACCAAGCGCACGGGTTGTCATAAAGATGATTACGACACTAATCCGTGTTCACAACATTAGGGTTTACCCTAATGTTGTATATATACTAATCTATAAAAGTATATCCCTTGATTGAAAGGATTAAATCTAATCTATACTAAGAACCGATCTTATCACAAATATTCCAAATTTGTGATCTATTCTATACTTATCTACATGCTTACCTAATATACAAATGATTACATAGAATAACTACGCTATACACTAATGCTGATAATTTGGCGATGCCGATGTTGTAGATGTTGACGTTGACAGATGGCATGTGGAGTGTTTGACTCATCAGATAATAAGGTGTGATCTTACACAACCAATCGTAAGTTGGTAACGAATAGCCTTCCACTCATAAAAGCCTTATGAGTAGCATCAACACACACTATTCACTATTATATTCGACTCACAAATGTCCTACGAGCAGTCACAACTCCCCAGTCGCTATCGTAATCTTTATTTGGCAACACCCACTAAATGAATCAGAGCAAATGTAAAAAATGAACGCTATTGAATCGCTGAATGTGATAGTAATATCTGAATGATAACATATCGATAAAGAATTTTCATCAAAATTTCCTAAATCAAGAACAACAAAGATTAGTCAAAGTTTGGAACATAACAAGCACTGATCAATTCTGGCTTTTCGTCAATAGGTTTTCTAAAAATACAAGCCAATTTATCCATCATTTTCATAAAATGGACTTTTATATTGCCATCCTCAACACGATCTTTGATAAAATGATATCAAAGTGAAATATGTTTCTTTTTGGAATGTTGAATAGAATTATGTCTTAAGTGAATTGCACTTTGAGAATCACAAAACAAAGCTATCTTCTTCATATTTATCTCATAGTCACACAATTGGTTTTAAATCCAAATCACTTGCGAGATATAGGCAGCAAAAAAAAATATATTCAACATCTACTATTGAAATCGATACACATGTATGCTTTTACGACTACTAACTCACAAGCTTCCCATCTAAGAATTGACATCCTCCTATAGTGATTTTTTAATCAAATTGATAACCTCCTAGATCAAAATCAAAATACGATTGAAAAAAGAATCTTGTGTTCGCTAGATACCATAATCCAAGAGTTGGAGTTCGTTGAAGATATCTAAAAAAGATTCTTAATGGCTGTGATATGAGGTTCCCTGGGATTCGTTTGGTACCTTGCACAATTACACAATGAAAACATAATATCATGTCAACTTCGAGTTAAATACAATAGTGAACCCATCATGCTACAATATGTTTTTAGAACAACAACTGCCTTATCCAATGAATAACTTAAACGAGGGTCGATTGCCATGGGTATGTTCGTGTTTGAGAAATTTGTCATTCTAAACCATTCAAGTAGGTTAGGAGAACTGATTTCTTGATTTGTAAAGATTCCTTCTCTGCTTTGACGAATATTTAATCCCAAGAAATGATTGATCTTACCCATCATGCTCATTTCGAATTAAATCTTTATAAGCTCCTCAAAATCCTTTGACAAAGAAGGGTATGCAGAATCAAATATTATGTGACCAAATTTTTTTTGAACAATCATTAGATCATTCCCAATTTCTTACAAAATAGAGTGGGGTCAACTGATCCATGCTTAAATTTAACGATTTTCAAAAAGTTGGTCAGTGTAGCATACCAAGCACGAGGTTCTTGTTTTAACCCATAAACTACTTTCTCAAGGATATAACAATGATCTTAAAATTATTGTTTATGAATCCAAGTAGATGCTCAACATAGACCGTCTCTTCAAGTACACCATGGAGAAATGTACAGTTTACATCCATTTGATAGACGTCAAAATTCTTATGAGCCTCATAAGCAAGAAAAAATTATACAGCCTCGAGTCTTGCGACCAGGGCATAGGTTTCTTTGTAATTAATTCCTTATTGTTGCGAATATCATTTTACAAGTAATCTAGCTTTAGTACAAACCACATTACCCTATTTGTCAATTTTATTTTAAAAACCCATTTTAAAACAACAATTGAAACATATTTAGGTTTTGGAATAAGCATCGAAACTTTGTTTCTTTCGAATTCAGCCAACTCCAGTTAGATTGCAACAAACTAATCGGGATGTTATAAAGCATTCTTGATTGTTTTCGGTTTGATTTTTGAAATAAAAACATTGAACATGTAGTATTCTTAATGAACATTAATAAACTCATTCCTAGCTCGAACTTGTGTTCATGTTAAAACACCTGAACTAGGATCACAAAGAATTTCTTCTTTAGGATGATCACGAGTCTCTTTCTCCATTGGAAGAAATGACAGATTAAAGTCCAAAGGTACATCATCAAACGTGTCTTCAGCTTCACACATTTCATCTGCAATGGAAATATTATCATTAACATCATGATATTCATTACCTTGAGCATTGTTATCAGCATCATGATTTGTTCCACTTGCATCCCCCTTAACCAAAGGAGTCATTGTTTGTTTCTCCCCCTTAACACTAGCTTGCGAGGATCTCAGCTCCTCCTCGACTCGAGTAGGAGAAGATAAATGTAGTCCCTCTATACGATTTGGAGATGTCGAGTACTCCCCCTCGACACTAGTAGGACTCATAGTCTAATCCTTCTCGACATTTACTTCTTGAATCGATGACGAATGTTCATCATTTTTCTCATCAATTACTACAAAATCCTCTGATTGCTTTGATACTTCCGGTATTTGATTATGTTCAATATTTACCTTAGCATCAATAGCCCGGTCAGGTATACCAAAGATTAAATCAAAATCAACATCGAAAGTAAGCATTTGCTAAGATTCATTATTTGTATCAGATAGAAGGGGATTCTTTGAAAATTCTTTTTCAACACTCTTCACATAGTAATCGTCAAATGTGAGATTTAATGTTTCTTCAATTTTTCATGTTCGCTTGTTCAACACCCTATATGCATCAGAGTTATGCGAATATCCCAAGATAATTCCTTCATAGATTTCATTTGAAATTTGGAAAGATTATCTTTGAGATTCATTATGAAACATCAGCAACCAAAAACATGGACAAATTTCACATTAGGTTTCCTTTTGTTAATGATTTCATAAAGTGTGAGGTTAAAACACCGATGAATAAGTGAACAATTTTGTGTAAAGCAATTTGTCAAAACTCCTGCCTAAATATATTTACGTAAATTTGCATATGTGAGCATTGTCATAGCCGCTTCGCATAATGAGCGATTCCTCCTTTTGACAACACCATTTTGTTGTGGTGTTTAGGGAGACAAAAAGTTATGAGAAATTCCAAAATTCGCCAAAAACGAATCTAGAATTTGATTCTTAAACTCATTCCCATCATTGCTCTTGATCTTGTGAACTTTCTTCTTCAAACTTAATTCTATATTTTTTTGATAAAATCAATCATCACTTGATTTGTTTCCGATTTCTATCTAAGAAAGAAAACCCAAGTAAATCATGAAAAATCATCAAAAATAACAAGTATATATTTCTTCTGATTGAGTCACTAAACAATCGAAGGACCACACAAATCAATGTGTAAAAGTTCCAACGGTTCGACAACCTATGAATCAATTATGATTCCATAACTTTGACGATGTTGTTTACCTTGTTCACATGCTACACATAACGAATTGTTTACAATTATCAAAATAGTTAAAGCATGAAAAAGATTATTTAAAACAACTTGATTTAAAGTTTTGAAGTTGATGAGAAAGTATTTGATACCAAAGCCAGCTAAGGTCTGATGTAGCCTTTGATAGTTGACATACTGAGGGAATGCCCACTATAGGTTTTATGTCCAAAGTGAACATATCACCCTTCCTCTTCGACTTCAATAAGACCTCCTTTCTTTTCTTTTTTTTATATTACAATCCTTCAACATAAAAAAGAACTTAATTCCCAGTTCAAACAACTAGTTGTGAGACACTTATTAGGTTATGCTTCAAACCTTCGACATAAGCGACCATGTTTACAAAAAATTACCCATTTTGAACTTTTCTGTATCCCTTCAATTTACACTTATGATTGTTCCCGAATTTTACCACTCCAACATTCTCAAGTTTCCTAAAATCCCTCAGATTCTTCTTACGACCAGTCATGTGGCGTGAGCATCCACTATCAATATACCAATTTTCATCATAATGTTCGTCATATAGTACCAGCTATCATTCAGAGAGATTTAGGTCACCAAGAATTTTTGGGTCCTTAGGCATTAGCATGAAAAGTAGTGTGCAATGCAGAACTAAAGATCCAACTACGAACTTTTGTTTTAATTTTGTTGATTAAGTCAATTTTGTCAGTTTTAGGTATAGATATGTAATCATTAAATGGTGAAGTGTCAACTTTTATTTTTCCTTTTTCAACCTTACTTTGAGATACATAAACTTTATTAGCTTTAACTTCTTGCCATTTTGACACTTTCAACACTGATTCTTGAGGCAAAGTGCTTCCACTCATCAAAACATTCAAGTAATTCTCATAATCATGTTGGACATGTTCTTGAGAATACTTTTTC